AAATATATCACCTAACCTCCTATATACGTACTTGGGCAGTATTGAAATTTTTTTATCATACGGTCCCCAGTACGTATTGGTATTCAGGAGTTACCAATCTGAACCGTCCTAGCGAAACAGCGACGGCATTTCCCAATACTGCTTGACTGGGTAGCATATACAGAGAGATTATTTCGACTAAGGCTGCTAAGAAAGAAGAGATAGCTACATCACTTAGTACGAAGTGGGTAGTTTATGCAAAGAAAATGATGTTGCGTATATGAAATGCGAACCCCTATCTTGAGCGGCATATGACGACACCGCCGGTATCGTGGCAATCAATATAAGGACACGGAGTGAGCTGCTTAGAGTATCGCGAGACGTCAGCGTCTGGGATTTTAGTCGTTTTCCATCTTACGGTGATTGGCGAGGAGTGGGTCGTTGGCCCCTTGCTTCAGTACGTTCCTCAAGGTGATACCATCACGGCACGAGATCAACCCGTGTAGGAAGTCACCAAGAGCCGGTCATTTTAGCATGTAGCGTGTGAATATTGTGAATGGGCGTAGGGACGGTCATTACTAGTTTATACTGCACGTCATTGTAGTCATTGTTGTTTAGAACCTCCTCAGCGGCTGACGATTGCTCCCCTAGTACGATATCTCATTCGATGCATGTTTAATCAAGCATGTTTATATCCAAGCGCCGAATCATAGGCCCTTGCTGGACCGCCTACTCTATTATGCGCGAAATCATTTGTTTACTTTTCACACATCATAGGGATGTGCGATAGCATCTCGGGGTGTAATTAGGTGTCACCGGGCTGTGTAGCTTCGACCGGGGCAATTCGAAAGTCTCAATGGAGAGGACGACCGAATGTGATCAAAGAAAGTTGATACCTTTCAAGAGAGATAATGCCTTCAAAAATGTCTATTATCCCTACGTTGATTATCGAAACAAAGAGAATAGGAGATGTAGACAATGGACGTATAATGAATTGTGTTGAGCTGTGATTATATTGTATCATGACGGGCGTTCAAAGGGGTAGCGGCTACAATTCATTTGTTTTATCCATGGCCGTGCATAGTAGTACAACCTCCAATGATTCGTTGACTCGCAGAACACAGATGCTTACAGGGATGCATCGTGCCCTTTGTGTGATCTTTTGTGCACCGACCTCACGATGTGTTGACATGACAAGGAGCCCGACGGCAACTTTCCATGGTATATAATAAAGCTATTGTTCTTCTCGAACTGGTAGTATATATTGACTTTCAACTTCTAAGTCACCGCGTTTCCGACTACCATATCCAAGTCAACATAATTCCGATTCAACTTCATACCAAAAGACACTTCCCCTGTACCATCCGGAAAATATATACCTGTATTATTGTCAACTGATCGTCACGATATAATGCCGTACAATTACGGAGATCACGGGTATCATGATGCCCCTGGATTCTCACATCTAAGGGATCCTGGATATCTTCCGCGCCCACCAGTCGGGCCACCCAGATCCTACCCAGCAACCACACCTTCAGCTTCTGCGTACTCCTGTTACAATTCCACCAGAGGAATTTACGATGAACCCAGTGCTCATTATTCGGGACCATCTTCTTACTATCCAGGTCCATCCCATTATTCGGGACCATCTACTCGCTATCCGGGACCGCCTCCTTATTCGGGACCATCTGCTCGCTATCCGAGACCATCTACCAGCTATTCACGCCCACCTCCTGACTATTCGCGTCCACCTCCCACCAGGCGTGGTTCGCATGGCTACGGTGACAGCTCAAAGCATCGAGAGCGCTCACACACTTATGCAAAACATGAGGATGATGAAGAAGACGGTCATAGCGTCATCGTGCGAGCTCGTGAGCAGGCGATTAAGGACCACGAATATCTCGGGGTAACCATCAACATAGTTCTCCTACATGAGGTAAGCGATTCTTGGAGTCATTTCCTTCCCGTTATAGTACCTTGAGGCTCCTGAATGTCTCGGGAGCGTGTTCCAGGAGCATGTGTTGAGAGTTCCAGAACTGCATGAAAGAGTAATTACTGACTCCAGCCGTTGCAGTGGTGCGAGATGGCCCCTAGCGTATTCCATACCATCCCGGAGTCCTTCAAAACTGCGATGGAGATATTACCTGTGCAGTACGGGAAAAGGGGGTACATACCCTTTGACGACCCACAGAACGAGTGGGGGATCAAGACGAACTACGACCCCGAGCTCAGCACTACTTATATCCCAACTCTTCTTATCGAAGTGCCTGCTATATTGCCCGAGGTTGCTGTTAACAAGCAGGAGAAGCTCAAGGCAACGTACAAGCGCTTCGTGACGGAGCCCCGGAGCGAGAGGCTCGAAGGCGTTCGCGCCATTCCTTTCAGAGACACCCCTCGATTTAAGCGCTACGCCATTTTCTTCAAGTTTGAATCGGGAAACACTGCTTCCCTTCTTTTCGAAAAGTATGTTCCCGAGAAGGAAATCATCAGAGTTCACAAGCCGAAACATGGTCGCAAGCACAAACATTAGAAGGGGGGGCAATTGTAATGTCCTTCCGCAAAGCAGTACTACCAGGGGTTCGTATAAGTAAGTGTAAGCAAAGATTTCAGATTGCGATAACGGGTAGGGGAGTCATAAGGTAGCACGGTGATGTTTACAGCGATGTTTCCTACAAGTTTATGTTTAATTATTATAGTTTATAAAGAAGTGTTATATCATCTATCTCCTCATCTATCCCCTTGATGTGATTATTAATGAGCAGACACTCTTAGACAGACTCATGTAGTTCGTACGTGCCCACTATGCATGCCGCGATTCCCATCGAACCGGATGATTTCCCTCTTTTAAGGGGTAAGGCAAGGGATCTGTGTGATGGTTTGAGCAGGAACCGGGAGTGTATGCCTCGTGTCGCCCACCCATCAACTCGACTACACGTGACGATGCATTGAAGAATCGTGGTCGGGTGATAAGACGCGACGTTTGCTTTACGTCATCGTACTCGAAAAGACCATTTACATCAGGACGACTGTTTCTAACTATGTGGGCGCGGCAAGTGTCGCACAGCTCCTCCGTGGCGCCCAACTAGTACGCCGGGAGTGTGTGGCCTCATTGAAATTTAGGTCGTGATAGTGCATAGTTGGGCCTCCTTGGAATACGTATCAAGCTGTAGAAGATCAACGGAACCGAAATACTTATGGAATTTTGAGCTCTGGCATCAATGACACCGATTTCCAGATGCTCTCTGACGCGCACGCATACCGGACCTTTCTGTTGATCGTGAAAAACTCTCAATACTTCCTGACTTGAAAACTTTCAGACAAGCTAATAGCCTAGTGGTAGAAAAACGTTCCCCCAGCATAGTGCAGAGACAGGAATGAAAGCTGCGTAGATAGCAGAACAATCGCGAATACTAGCGTCCTTGTGTACGATGCAGACTATAGCAGGGATAAAGACAGTCAGTCAATTAAAGTCCGACCACGGCCTCCCAAAGTCACCGGCCTGGTAATTAATATCTGCAACAATTCCTGCTTTCTCATCCCTCGTTCTCTTCCAGGGCACGGTTTAGCATAAGTCCGTCCAGATACGCTCGGACCTCAACGATCTTGCCATCTTTCCATCGTGTCGACCACGAGTAGGTGTTATTGTATGGCTTGCCTATCAATGCCGCTTCAGCTGCTGATTCAGACAATAACTTGACCGCTTATACGGGCCATGTCTATACTCAATTGGTGATCAGCTTACCATTCTTTTGCCGAGCATCGGCGACCATCTCAACAACAGCCCAATCCTCGACCTCTCCTCCGGTGATTTTAGTGATATTCAATTTCACCGGTCCATCTAAAGCGGCGGCAATGCGACCGAAAGATTGGGATAGAAAAGCTTGCTTGGTCTTATACACTCCCGAGAGGGCGTGCGTCCCCATGACAGTCCAGTGAACGTCATCCGCCACGTAGTCGTAAAAGGTGTTCGCATCGCCGTCTTGGAGGTGCTGAAAGACAGCACGGACTTGTGCTTGAGTGGGGGCGTTATTATTCGGCATACTGGAAGTCCTATAAATGTCCAAGGGAGACGCGTTATCCGGTAGATGTTGAGAATTTAGTGGTATGAGGCTCCGGAGCGAGATGTAGAGCTCGGGATGGAGGGGTAACCATTGCGGCCGGGTGTGCCGAAGGGATGGTGCCAAGTGACGCAGGCCGCGCTTACAGATATAACAAAGACCGGAGTATGCAGCATACTGTATTACTCCCTTTTACGCCACGCCACCTCCAAATATGGCGCCATAAGCCACCAGATATTGAGTGTTTTGTATGACTATTTTCCGACTAACTGAGTATTTGAAGTACCAACGAAGCGACTTAGCTCTCTGGCGCAAAAAGAAAGGCAGCAAAGACCTTAGCAGCATCAAGATAATTCACTATCGCTCCTGTCGCAATGGTCAAGCATACGTAGACACGGACTTAAAGTGGGCGATTTGGCACAGCAAGAAGTACTATACCTATTACCCAAGAGAAGGTATGAGAAGTTCAAGAGAGTAAGCGAGCAGGCAATAAATGTGCAAGATCTACTCAATCGCCCGGAGAAATGCCTATAGCAGATTTGGACAGTAAGGCCATGGTGGCTGATCGCTCTGCGGGAGACAATTAGACAGCGTACGAAGATGTAGCCGAGCAAATGCGGTCGCTGTAAGCCTAGGGCATGGATAGATAGGTATACCATTCAAGCATCGTGCTCAATGCGAGGCATCATGAAAAAGAGGTTCGGGTACCCGGTGGTAAGGTGCCCTATGAGATGGAGACCTTAGGTATTAGGTAGCAATCGCCCATGAGTCCTTTCTTCGTCCACTCGTATCCCCTCTAAAGGGGCGTTTTAGCACCGCGACTTTACATCGGAGCGTTATCAGAGAGAGCTAAGTGCAGAGTATAATTATTATGAGAAGTGGGGCAAAAATTAGAGTCACAGTGGGGAAATCGCACTCCCAGAAGGGGAGGGTTGTTGAAGGGAGCAAAAAAGAAGCAGGAATTGAACCCAACCCGATTTGAACGGATGACCTTCTGGATACAGTGAGTATACCATTTAACTGGAATCAGATGCTCTACCGCTGAGCTATGGGTCCAGTGTTGGCAAATGGTCATCAATAATACCCTAAATTGCTAGTGTTGACGGAAGCTATGGGGGCACTATCCCTTTAACTTGCGTTTCCGCACCGTGACTTTGTAGCTAGGGCAGCCAGCCAATCAAACGATGTTAAACTATTCCCCCACCTAATCTAGCTTGTGGTAGATACCCCGTTTCCGTAGCCCAGCAGCCTGACCTCCCCCTCACTAGTACCTTAAACACGCGAAATTTTGAAATTAAAAAATGTTGAAATATATAATAGAATATATGATTTTAAACATTATAGTTATTTTGATTTAATCTGTTGTTTTAAAAAGGATGTTTTGAGGTTAAAAAAGCAGACAAGCCTGTTAGGGTGGTCACTGCTGCTATCGATAGCGGCATGCGATGAAGTGGGGCAGAGAAAGTCACGGTGCGGAAACGCAAGTTAAAGGGATACCCGCTTTGGCCTTCCTCGGAAATGGCGGCTTACCCTAGTAGCAGCAGACTCCGTAGATGGAACTACAGCAAAAAGCCAGCATAGCACGGGCACAAAACTGGCTGCCAATAGTTATGAGTAGATAAAATCTAACATCAGCCCCGCTAGGGATAATCAACTCCGAACGGCTTATAGCTTCTAAGGTAAACGATTTATAATTGTTCAGAAGTTTAGACAATTAGAAGATCATTTGCCTACGAAGGGTGGATTGGCAGTGCAGCTGGCAGCCAGCTGGAAGCGCTAGTATTGTCTATTTGTAGCTCCTATTAATCATCTCTCTGTTCCCCTGCTCCCAGTGATTGCTGTAGTTGACCTGCTCGTCAGGATCTGTGGTTGGGTTTCCAAGTCCGCTTCTGTATTTTTTACCTACCTAGATAAGTAGTTCCTTTTGCGGTGTGCTTTCTTAGAGAAGTTCTGCTTGATACTGCCACGGCGAGTACAATTTCTGGTAATACTGACGCCCAATTTTCTTAAATTAGGACGAGGATCATTGATCATTATCTCAACTGATACATTAGGTTTATTCAGTTGTCTGACTAGACCTTGATTTTAGGCGAGTCTTGAAGCCTGTTTCTACCATACTGCGTAGTCATCATTAGCACGAGACAAGGCGGCACGCTGTGCAGTGTTCGGGGCCCATCTCTTAAGTTATGAACAAGGCACATTCAACGTAAGTATCTTGAATAATGAGAATATTAAAGATACGCCAATCAGTCAATAGCATTAGCTCCTAACCACTATGATTACTTAGCTGACGGCTCAGCTACTAGGCACCTCCTATTAGTGATCTAGCTTTTCTCTAAAAAACTCCCATTTAAAGAGCCAACAATATAAGGGGAGACGCATAGGCTGCTACCACACCATGATACTCATTCTCCCCCCTGCAGCGAGGCTTGCACACATTGGAAGAAGTTAACAGACCCTTACCAATTTGGGTCGCTTACTTTCCAGTGACTATCATTGCTGCTCGAGGCAAAGTTGCCTTTCGATGTGTCTAAGGGAATGTCGCTCCCTTTATCACGGGAAAGCAAGAAGAAACTCAGCTTGTTAAAAGAGAGATAACTCGCAGCACGCGTCTGTATTGGGCGGAGGATTGGGAGACATGCGCTTAGCACACCAACATGGGCCTCGACGATGGCCCAGTACCAAACAGGTGCGTAATGCCCTAAGGATTTCTATTAGCGTCATGGGAATTCTAGGATGGATTATTAAGTCTGTTCAACTTACAAGTGACGTCTTGATTAGTTGAATCAGGAGGTATGGCCCAGACAAGGGTCAAATATCTGATCCGAATGAGACCGACAACGCTTACTAAGAGGCCCAGGAGGAAAATGCCTATAAGTGGTACTTTGCGACCTAGGGCCATCTGTAGCCCCCAGACTTTATAGATGGGGAGTATGAGAATCAAGACTAAGCTTAGTGTTAGTATATGTGCAAGACATGTATTCAACAGTTTGGAATGATGTCACTTACAATCAGTGACAACATCGGTTACAAGGGCTGTCGTGAAGAGAGCTACGACATTGATACAGGAATATTCAATGCTGTGGTCCCATTGCGATTGGATTGGAATGCATGAGACTAGAGTACCTGGTGAGTGATGTCTTAGCTAGACACGGGGATAGGATCATACAGGTGAATGCCAGCGTAAAGGATAGTGTCCAGGCAACCACCACTCCGATCAGGACCCAAGTCATGGTAATGAATTTTCGAGTTGCAAAAATCCGTTTGTACATAAGTAGAATGCTGATCTTGGTTATGCCAACGGTCGGCCATGTTATTATCTCAAGAACGTAACCAGTCTGATACCGCGAAGTCAGTCAGATCATAGATGTAGTTATTATTTCGCAGATCGCTATGATATACCTTGCCGAAGACAACGTCAGCTTGAGGGTTTTGAGATTTTCCATCGCTAGTGAGCTTTGAATGAGTCCCAAGACCACCGAGTTGGGTCGCTACGCAAATGCCACCGAATTAGAATATTGAATAATAGCAAGAGTTGGGACCTGTCTCACCAACAAGAATATCTGCTGTCTGGGCGAGCGTGAGAATCTAGATTTCTCGCGTCAGAGAGTGATAATTCTCAAAAGCTAGGGAGTTACAGCGCCATACTAGGGATATGAGGATGGTCCAGTCGTCCGGCCCAAGTTTCTGGCCCTGGATCTTGCGTGCCTTAAATCGAAGCACAACAGCTGCGATGGAGATAATACTAAAGGTAATACCCAAGCCCCAGATTGTTGGCTGTTGAGTTTCGGCCATTTTGGTCCGCAGGGGAGTGTATAGAAACCTCCTATACGAAATGGAGTCGGAAACAAGAGTTGGGACAGACAGAGCAGTTCGCTACCGGCCGCAATCTATAAAGAGAGAACAGGTTTGCAATCATAGAGCCTATCTTGTACTAGAGTTATATGCAACTGCATATGTATGTAACCCCCCAATCATGATGATCTGGGGAGCAGGAGATGCATCCTGCTTCACATAATTAGAGGCAGGAGGCAGGATCTAGCGAATCTTGCTTTGGCCTGGGCGATAAGAAACGAAACGGCACGTAGCTGTGGAGGATTCCCCAGAACTCGCATACACGTGCATGCAGAAACGTGCAGTCAATGGAACGTGGATTATGTACTAGTAAGCAAACATCGTGGCCAGCCACGAGTTTCTTCACAGACTTCACTATCCGCACGGAGCATATTAACAGCTAACAGTCTTCATAGATTCATTATGCGGCGTTTAATTCTGTTCATGGCGGAGAAGAAATTGTAGGACCAACAGACGTGATCATAATTTGACGTCATTGATAAACCGAACGACGCCACTAAGACTTCGCCCATCAATATAGATGACAAATTGGCCCTGGTACCTTGTCGTAGTTGGGGGATAGAGTTACAATGAGTTCCCAGCTGCTCCTGTGGGATCAACAAAGTAGTGAGACACATTCATGTGATGCAATGCCAATCAGGTAGCTTCGCGTCAACTTTGCAAGGATATAAAGGCCCTGCATCGTTTCAATGTGGTAGCAATGCGTGCGAAAACACCAGAGACATGGTAGTCTTCAAGTGCGCTAGTCATAATACTGGCTTCAATCCCTGACTATTTCGTGCGGCGGGCCAGGGTGTCGAGCCGCAAGTGCAGGGATCTTAGCTTTTATAGGACTAGTTCGGTTGCATTCTCCCAGTTCATCTATAAATAGACTATAGACTTTTTCTAATCGATAAGCTATAATTACTCATATTCTCATGGCTTCGGGTAGCTTTCATGAAAACTCTTGCTAGCAATTGACTCTTGCTAGGTAATCGTCTCTTTTTTATGAATCTAGCTTAGATACGGAGTACTCTGTCTCCAAGTTAGCCCATACGGCCGCGAACGCAATAGCCAAGATTTGAACTTCGTGTTGTCAGTAATACGGAGTACTTGTTCTTTCGACAGTTCTTGGCCATCCATATTGGATCAAAGGTGTCAATCAACCACATAGCTTGAAGTATATCTTACTAATGACCGACGATCCATAACTATGTGTATACAATTATACTTCTTGCCACCCAAATTCGCTTAAAGGGAGCATCAATCGGAGCTGGGTAGCCGGTTCTCATAGAGACACCCTTTGTTAAAGCCTGACCTCTGTGCACGCATATCTTTACGTCGCTTCTATCAGCTAGGACAGCTCTACCGGTAGGCGGAGAACAGTATACATCTAAAGATAAAAGGAACTACGAAGAATATTAGAACATCTTGGAAAACTCGACACAAACAGGAATGTCAGTGCTACCTACTTCTCCCCTTTCACTTTTCTGTGGCCGCCAATTACATGGAGATGCTCCTGACTGTGAACGTCGGCTCACGTAGCCAATGCCATATGCAGGGTTACAATGCTCATCTTCAAATTCGCACATTGCGAACAGGGATGAGTAAGAATATGCACATTGGGCAGCCCAGAATATGTTGGATGATTTGCACCCCATAGCTGAATAACAATACCGGCACCCGGCTAACATGGGTCTTACCCCAGGCTTGAGCCGACCATGGGGTCTGCAGTCAACACAAGCGAGAACAGGTGATGCGCTCGCTCTATAGACAGGCTATCATGAATAGTGAAATCGTAAGAAAGCTACTCTTTTTGCTTGCCGATCTTCGCTTTACGTCAGCTAACGAGAGAAAGTGTTTATTTAACATGATATATCTTTTGATTAATGGTGTAGTTACTAGTAAACGTCGCTCATTGACTATGTTGAACATATTTTTCTCTTCGCGGAGCCCAGATCCGCTTATACAGCGAATATACCAGTTCCCAACACGAGTGACCCTTTAGGAATCGTCGGACTCGCACCGAATTATCCGTATAAGTATTCACTAGGGCATACCTTTGAATTGACTATTGTAGCCGTGAATTCAACTCGGCGTCATTCATGAAGTGTGATCCGCCTTCGCATCTATAACCCCCAGCAACTCGATACCATCTGTATCCCACCGGACAAAGGGCAGCCTCAGCCAACATCTTCTGGATTTTTGCTTCGCGTTGAGAA